CAAACAACAGAAAAACTTACCGTAGTTGCTTATGTGCTCCCAGCACTTCTACGCTTACCGCTCTCTTGAACGTTTGGTAGCTGTTCGCAGTGTCTTTATTAGTTAGTTCACGTTGTTGTAAACCAAACGGTCCTGTTTTGATTGTCAGTGGATGATTTTAGCTGAGGTGGTGAGTTGATGATGTTAGCTGAGATGGCGAACATTTCACGTGAAAGTTGTCATTACATCCTTTCAGAAAAACTAAACTGAAAAAGGCTCGTGCAGAGAGTCATGACAATGCACAGGCTCATGCAGCGCTGTTGCCCAAGCGGTTCCATGTCAACCATCAGACCACAGTGGCCTGATGGTTTGACTGGACCTCGTATAGTCACCTGTTTTCAAGCAATACTGATTTCTGACATTGGCTGTCCTTCGCAGAGATCCAGAAATTAATATATATAAGGAAGAGTTGCAGGGTCGATGGGATCAGAGAAAACAAAGGGCAAGAATCCCTTTCTGAGAGTTCCCACACCCCCTACTTAGGTCTAAGGGTAATTCAACTTCACGACTGGGAAGCGACTCTAACGGTGGATGGTTAAAAAAAAAAGCGTAGGGAGAAAGGTGAACGTGCAAGAGCTGATTTTTGAATGGCATCAACGAATACACGAGGGTCGTGAAGATGCGAATGGCGAGAGAACTTGCAAACCATCGACAAGCGTCACAGAAATAATCAATCAAGTGCAACAACATTTGGTTTGCCAGGACAAATGATTGTCAGTGGATGATTTTAGCTGAGGTGGTGAGTTGATGATGTTAGCTGAGATGGCGAACATTTCACGTGGAAGTTGTCATTACATCCTTTCAGAAAAACTAAACTGAAAAAGACTCGTGCAGAGAGTCATGACAATGCACAGGCTCATGCAGCGCTGTTGCTCAAGCGGTTCCATGTCAACCATCAGACCACAGTAGCCTGATGGTTTGACTGGACCTCGTATATTCACCTGTTTTCAAGCAATACTGATTTCTGACATTGGCTGTCCTTCGCAGAGATCCAGAAATTAATATATATAAGGAAGAGTTGCAGGGTCGATGGGATCAGAGAAAACAAAGGGCAAGAATCTGAAAGACTCTCAAGGGTGTGGGGGATGAATCCAGATTCCCATTAAGTTGAAGTGCTGACCCTTCGCTGAGATTGCCACCTACCAATTTTTTTTTTCGCATCCCTCTTTCCACTTGCACGTTCTCGACAGGCGAGGAAGAAAAAAACTCCATTATTCATTTGAGGGGGGGAATTTCGGATGTTCTTATCAAGAGAGCGAGAGAGGAATTCCCTATAAAGGAAAAGTCCATAATTCCAATCCAGGGTGACGTCATGATTATATAGCGAGATCCACATAATTTTTTGTGCTTCTTCATGCAGGCCCCACCCCTGACATGGAGGGAGACAAAAACCATGCTCCCCCTTGGGATGTGACCCTTGCCGCATGCAATTCAGAGACCTAGCGGTGCGTGGAAAATAATTTCATGCGAGGAAGGAAATTTTCCTCGGGCATTCAGACAAAAGGCGCCATTCTTCCTCCTCTTTCAGCCCGGTCTTCCTCTAGCCCTTCCTTCACCGATTACCTTTTGGCGTTCTGCACATAATTCCTCTTCCGGAAAAAAAAAAATTTAAGTGGCACAAATGCATGGCTTGTGGAGCATTGCCATCCGTACATCGGCATATGACAGACAGTCTCACAGATGGTTTGCCATTATGTTGCGGTATTTCTACGATCTGTCGCAGATTCACTCGACATGTGACAAAAACATTACTTGACACTCGGAAGAGTCTGCTTGCTACGATTCCAACAGAATTTACTGTAAGGTATTGCTGCAAACTTGTTGCATAATACTCAGTAAATTATCACGTCACATACCGTTAACTGGACAGTTATACATAGTTACCATATTTTCCCGCTTTATGAAATTATTCGTTATGTTACAGTTGTCTTAGATAATCAACGTCTACGGCTCAATTATGCGTACACGTATAACATCAATATTATTGAGTACAACTTTCCTCAAATAATAACAAATTTAAATAACATTTTAGTCGCCAGCTGTAAATTTCTCATCGACTCAATTCAGAAAGGACTTATCAGAAATTTAGAGATTCGAGAAAAGCATGCAGGTGCTGGCTCCGCAGGTACGAGTACGGTGTCTGTTTAGCAGGAACGAGTACGATGTCGGTTCAGCAGGAACAAGTACGGCGTCGGTTCAGATCAAAAGCGAGTAAAACGAGGAGCAAAGGGAGATAAAGGAGGAAAAAAAGAAGGATGGATGGATTCAAGAAGGAAGGTGAATGTGTTGTATCTGTTGTGAGGAGGTATATATAAACAGGCCTTAAATCACGCTCCTGCAGAGTGGGACTTTTTTTTCCCTAATGCGTTATAGCCGTACGCAACACTCTTGTATATTGTCCCATGCATCACCCGGAGCCCGAGCCACGAGCAGCTCCAGCTTCCCCTATAGCGCTTTATGAACCCTTCTTTCTTTTTCTCTGCCGGGGCTCGTGTTCATATAATAATCATGAGGATTCATGGTGGTCGCCATCCTTTTCCTTCTCTCTAGGACGTTGCTGTCTCAGTCGCAACAATGAACGATTTATTTCGCAATCGGAATATAGGAATATGAAATTATTTTTCTGGCATCTGAAAGTTCCTCCAATTGAGAGACATCCGATGATCATGGTCACAAGCGAGTTACTTCTGCTAGCGTTGATCAAATCGTCGTAAGAAAAATATGAATGAATGAATCCATGAACAGTCAAGAATCAAGAAGAAAAATCATATGTCGAAAGCTCTGCTTAATCATGACTACATGGAATGAAAAATGTAGAAGCATTTCTCACTGTCGACAACGGACCGCTGAAGGTCTCTCTGGGACCGCTTTAATTCCATGTGCGGAGTTTTTCTTCCCCTCTCCCCTCCCCTCAGATACAGAGGGGAAGCTTTATGGAGGGGGGATAGGTCTCTTTATATAGAGTCCCAGCGGGACTTTCAACGCAGTTGTTATGGGAATAAAAAAGAAGGGAAGGGTTTGACCGAGTTCAACGTAGGCTCCGTGGCAATTTAGATTATGGAATATATATTAAATTTGAAAGGTCCAAAGGTGTGAAAAAGTATGACAGTAGTTTTAACGTTGTCAATACATACCTTTTTCGATACATGCAAACAAACTTTCAAGCGTCCAAATTACAAATACATAACCCAAAGATTATGTATTTGCAATTTGGCCCACTAGCAGCAAGACTTCTCTCAGGGCCTTCCCATGCCTCAGGTTAACGCTGAAAGTTACTGATTCTTATTATATAGGTCGTGAGACCGTCTCTAAGTCTCATGGCACACATTATCAAGACTGAACGGAACTCCTATAATTATGGTATAATTATGTTTCAATAAATAACTGAAGTAAGATAGTAACAAATCTTTGCTGACAGCTCCAAACTTCCTTCAGAATCTGGAACTCCGTGAAGTATATCTAGATCACGAGAGACCATCACGAGAAAATGACCGCGAGTGTCACAAGAGCTGAATGCTGGGCTGTTTCTATCTGGAAAAGTTCAATTTCCATCTGGTCGTTCAATGTGCAGAGAACTCTCTTTGAAGGCTTCGCCAATCATCATGCTTTTGCACGACACCGCGTTTTTCTCATCCTATTCCAAAACTGGAGCATCCTCAAGTGCTCAATAACAGAGTTCTCTCACGTGACGTATAGTTGTATCGTTAGGGGAAATCTGATGTGGATTGGCTCACATAGGGATGGATGGGCTTCAACATCGTAGGGGGAATGGCAGGGATTCAAGCTAATGGATGAGGGCTTTCAAACAGTCCCCGAGGACTCCTCTACCCAATGAATCCCCTTTCCACACACATACCACACCCTTGATTCTCTTTCTCTTCTTTCTCTTCAACCCCATCAAAGCACACCCAGAAACCCATTCAATTCAAAGCAAACCCCTCCCACAATAGGAGTAAATGTCCCTTAGGAATTGCTTGGAAATCACCAAAAACTCCTGGGTTTCTGTGAAGAACGAAGAACCGTTGCATACAGCAGCCAGGGGTAATGAAGTTTTGATGAAATTATAGCTACAATAAATTCAATGGCATACATAATATTACCATCTATACTGTAGATCCATAATAAGCAAGCCAGATATCGAACATAGGTTATCAACAATAATCTGGCATTTTCTTCTTCCTTGCGACTTTCGAGTAGTTCCACCATATATTCAAGACGACAGGATTATTTTGCCTTCCAATCTCTGTTCCATTCCGTAACCCAAATGGGCACGAAGGTCCTGCGTAATTGAAGAAGGAAAGGAGAGCGAGCACCGAGAAGGAAAAAAGGGGAGGAAAAGAAAGCAATCCTTCAAGATGGGGTGGGTCGATAAGAAAGAAAGAGAGAAAAGAGGAGAGAATCAGGAATTGAAAGGAGAATATGATAGAAGGAGATGAACGGCGCCATGCATCATGCCTCCAGAAAATTGGGAACCGATAGCATTCTTCTCCAGGAAGTAGGAAGAAGGGAAAGGGTAGATATGCATGAAAGAGAAAGAAACTACACTAAAGGTTAGGACCTCGTGCTCACATGGAAACGAGGTATATTTTTAGATGAATAAATTCATAGGAAAGGCAGTAAACGGTAAAGAGTAATAAATTATTCTTTTGATAAGAAATTTCCTGCAGCATAGCGGTTCCTTCTTTTCTGTAGCATTTGAATATGGTACCCCTGTATTCATTCATCGAAGTAAAACAGTGAGAGTGGTTCATATACATTCAGAAATGCAAGGTCGAAATGTATTCATGAATACATTTCTGCCTTGCATTGGTGAGTTATCATTGCACAATGCGACAATACACTCATTGAGAAATTTGACATTGTTGCCATCATCACGTAATCAATCGCATTCATGCCTGACAGCAACAATGAAAGTCGCCGATATGAAACTATGATGAAACGTAAATTAAAGAAGGACTCACCAAACTGATTCCTCATCCAGGGATACAGAGGGCTTGGGATTGTGGGCACGGACTGCGGAGGTGCCTGAGACACTTGGGGATGGTGGGTGGGAGGATTCTGGGCTGCACCATACATATGATGATGGGACAACTGATGCTCACCCGGACTCATGCAATGGTTCGTGTTCACCCGAAGTCCCTGATCGTGTCCTACCCCCACTCCCACACCCACCGGGCTGGGCTGACCCTGAAGTTTACAAGATGGGTACTGATTCGCACCCATCCCCACACCCACGGCTCCACCCGCACAGTTCGTCCCGTCACCGGGAAGGGCATAGTAGGCGTTGGTTAACCGGTCGAACGGCGGATATCTCGGATACCCACCTGGGCTCTGGTTCGCATGGTGGTTTCCTTGATTTGTCATGGGATACCCACCCAAAGGCCCCTGACATCCTGAGGGATCACCGGGTTGCGTGGTCACGAAACCGTCTGCACCCCCTCTCAAGTCGGGTAGGTAGGAATTGGCGAAATACGAGCTCATCATGAAGGAATCTCTCTCAGCACATGTCGACAGACAGACACGAACACACACGTAAAGCAAGGATGATGATGATGATGAGGATAGAGGCGAGAGGAGCACCAGCACTAGTACATCAGGCGCATGCGCTCCATTCCCCAATGCCAGATGCTGGGCCGATGACAAGCACTGCTGCTGTTCCTCTTGCTGCTGCTATTACTAATGCTTCTAGAATCAGGATTGGGCTTCTTCTACTCCACCGCCAAGGCGAGCAACTGCAACACAAAAACCAAATTTCATAAACCGTCAACAAATCTGCAGGATGGGGATGAAAAAGGGACGGTGAATGTGCAGACACGATTCCCAAGTCTGTTTTCTACACGGTAGGGGGCTCCCATTCACATGCAGATCCCCATGGCTCGTGAGGTCTCTTTCTACGAGCCGCCTTCCCACTCCCAGGTATATGGTATGGCGAATAGGATAGGCCTTTCTTCGACCTGCATGCACGGATTGCTGAGAGAGAAACCTCTGGCTAGTAGGGCGGAGAACTGCCATAAATAAACTCTGGAGCCCTGCCCGCCTGCCTTCGAAACCCCCGTCGGATCCCTCTCTCGCTCTCTCTCTCCCTCCCCCCCTCCTCTTCCTCTACGTTCTCTCTGCACTCCCTTATTATGAATCCAACGACTCATTATCGTGTCCGTTTGCCCGGAAACTTCCTCTCTTTCTCCCTCTTCCAAATTTCGATTGCGTCTCCGAGTTCCCATATGTGGGATCTTCCCATCTTTCATTTGGGGAGTGAAAGTAAATCATGGGCTTGAGGAAGATAAATCCGCGCAGGATTTGCACTGTCGGTCTCTTTACTTCCATGAAGAACCCATTGCAATGAAAGAAACGACTGACACAATAATTGTCAGCATTTTCGCTAAGCTTATTGTCAGTGTTGCCGAAAATCACAAAACATGTTGTTTCTCTATTCCTTCTTCTAAGATACAATTGCCTAGTTCTTTTTTAAATCGCCTGACTGATTTCGAACGCAAGAGGTCCTTGACTCACCCTGCTTTTATCATATACGGTTAGCTGACTCCATGAATATTCCAATGTACTGGCTATAAATCCGATCAGCAAGCTTGCAGATCATTCCTACGATAACATTTTTTGAGAGCGAGATCAAGAAGGAAAGTGGGACAAGAACCATAATTTTCTTCGCTGTCTAAGCTCTCATGAAAAAAAGGGATTTTCAAAATCTCCACCAATTCTCCCTTCACGTACTTTGTATGATAAAACATGACGATGTATGTTTCAACATATTTAAAAGTACCATCATAACAAGAAAATTAAGACAAGGTATCCCATCGAACTCTTAGGGTATTGATCTTCGAGAGGAAATCAGTTTCAGTTTTAGTATAGTTGCAGTTCCAATTGGGACTATGGCTACATCTCCCCCTTTCCAAAGCCTGAAGTCCACCCTATGCGATGAACGAAACTATCGCCTTGCGCAAGTACGGAAGCAAAGTCCAGAGAAACTATGAACATGTTTCAATTGAAGCTAAACCGAAGTCGTGGCAGCATTCACGATGAAAAGAGAAAATAGGTATATTCGCAAACATAGCATAGAATCGCAGCGCTGACCCTATCCAATCCAAATTCCCGCCGCCGTAATGATCGCGTACAAAATGAAAAATTGTCATGGTTCCTTCTTTCAAGATCTTTGAGTCCACCAGAAACCGAAGATCTGGAAACATGGGCTTGGGAATATTCTTCCTCTTTATTTTATCCATCCAAAGATACAGACAGAGTTGACCCAACAAGGTCTTATGACGTTTCAAGCACGACTTCGATAAATTAAGAGGGCGCTGATGGATTCATCTCTCTATAACTCATGCTCCTTCCTTTTGTGAACGTAGCCGCGGACGATTTTTACAGGGTTTTTTTTCAGAAAGGTTTTGGCCGACATGAGTATTCTCTCCTCTTCCATTGCCAAAATCTCAGGGACTATAAAAAAAAGCTGTTCAGTGACATCACTTCACTCTCTCACGGCGAGGTCCATGACAAGTATAGTTTCGAATATGACCATCAATGAACAACCTTTCTGATGGACACTTTTTTAAATGCTGATCATCACTAATCATGTTGCAAAACACCAATAGAATCAATAGTAAAACATTAAACAACAGGAAAGTTTCGGTATGTTCGCCCTTGCGAGCCCGGAAACGCTCACAATGCGACAACTGACTTTTTTTTAAAGACTAGATATGCTAATGCGTAAAATTAGAATGTAAGTACTCAACGAAAAGAAACTTTTTTTTCCCGCCCAAAATGCTGCAATTTCGGGGAGAAAAGACAACATATTACAGATCCTTCGTATAAAAAAATTCAAATTTTTTGTTGTTGTTCTATACTTCTTGTTATGGAAAAGCTCTTATATGTTTAGCCGTTAATTTTTTCCCATTTACCTTTCATGCCAAAAGGAGGCAAGTAGTTCATCAACATGCTTGTCAATCCGCAGAGCTCTCATTGCGTCTAGGTTGCCTGATGTAACCCTTCATGCACTCACGCTAGGGAGCGCGAGCGCATCAATTGTTACTTTGATACATCAAGTGTCACACATTTTCGTCTTTTTTTTACAGCCATCTCTTTAGCGGGACTCAAATTCGCTTTTTCGTTGTCTCGTGAATATCGCTAAGATAAATTTCACGCGAAAGGGTTTGACTAAGTTATGGAATCCGACTAGGGGAAAATGGGCGCGAGTGATTACGAGCGACTTCGCGAAGAGAAAAATGGCGAAAAAGGCTGAGCATAATAACTGACGAAAGGAAAGGAAAGAAGGAAGGAAAGGGCTGGAAGAAAAAGGATGAGAGATGCAAAGCAACAGCATGAACGTCGGCGGCGCGGATGCATTCCTCCAAAGACATGCATGCCTCTTCTTCTTCTTGCCCGTTCATTACCAGTTTCCAAAATAGAAAACACCAACAGAGATAAATCCCCTCCAGTCCCTCTATCTCCTCTCTTCCCCCTTCTACACTCCTACCTCCTTTCTTTCTTTCTTCCTTCCTTTTTTTCCATTTCTCCAGCCATCTTTCAAAGGCTTCACCCCTTCAAAGATGCAAGTTCGGCTCAACTCCTCCAGATGGGACTCTTTTCCCGGAAAGTAGAAGAAAAAATTTCCGCCAATGTAAGGCAGGCTACAAATTCATTCACAAAGGTTATAAGGCAGATTTGAACAAAATGGCAGCTGTTCAAAAGGGGAGGGGGAAGAGCGACAATGAAACCAGGAAATCGGAATGAATGGGAACGCCAGTGAACCACGAAGTTGTAGAGGAAAGGCCGGGGAGGCCTACACGCGCACCACGCCAATCGATCATACGTACGTAAAAAAAAAGAGGGAGGAGAGTGGAAGAGAGGGGGGGGGGGGGTATGTTCTTGAATAAATTCCCCGGCTGTTCCATGGGATAGGGCGCACAAAAGAGGGGGAATTTTTTCTCTGCCTCGGCTAGTGATTAGGCTGTCACCAGAGGGTTTCAACTGGACCGTGAAGTGAATCCCAGGAACATGGCGCCCCTTTTCGTCTCGTTCCAGTCCAACACGGCCGCCCGGCATCTTCCATTATTCCTCTTCACGTGGAAAATCGACTAAGTGCAACCCGGAAATATGCCCGAATGATGGCGCCACACGTGCGAAATTGATGGGCTAGACTCTTCTAATTGGTTTTTACATGACGCCCTCGCCTGAAGGCTGGAAAAAATCAAGCTTGCGAAATATCTTCCAAACACAGGATGCCATAGCGCAACTTAGCGCCGTATACACAGAGAAAAAAAGAAGAGAAAGAGATTAAATCACAGAAACGGGTTTTCTCACCAAAAAACTGAAAAGTTTTAACTGCGAAGCATTTCATTAGGCAAATCCAAGATGGTGCCATATGATAGTCTGTTGATGCTTAGGAAGCAATAGCGATATACTAAGCCGAGTGGCAAGAACTCAGCTGCAAGGAAACGAGATATTTTGGAATACAGAAACATGAGAAAATGTTCTAATGCAGAAAACATCGTGAACCTTATATTTTTTTGCCGCCGAGGGTTGGATATTGTTGAGAGTGGTTCCAGGAATTACAGTGATCACGTATCTAGTCGTAACTCAATAACGACCACATGGGTTTTCTCAGGCGTTTCCTCATTTTCTTGGCTGTGTTTTATGATGGGATGGAAGGATTCGCTCGAAGGAAGTGGAATTTCTGCTAGCAATAACACTCGGTAAGGAGCCGTGCAGGCGGTGAAGATTCGCAGTGATCACGCAAGGAACGAAGAAATAAATCAGAAACGTGACGAGAAGTCTATAGAGGTTGCAGAGGACGTGATGAACCAGGGAAAGGGGCGGTATAAGGCGGGAATATGAGAAGCGAACGTGATGCTGGGCTTCTTTCCATTGACGGCTTATAACTATCTTCGGTTGGGTGGAGGCTTCGACAGCAACATAAAAGTGGAGATCGGAACGAAAAGATCTTGTTCATTAAGTCTAACGCAAAGTTTCCCCCTCTGAAAGATGGGAAAAAGACCATGCATGGCTGCCATGCATATGAGATGGTGGCTCCGGTTTCCCCTTCATGCACTACAGCACCTCCTTTTCTTTTTCCTCCATATCCCTCTGCATAAGTTTTATTCTCTCATCTGCATACAACCCCATCCTCAAGATATCAAAATTTATGGAAAGGATATGGAGATGATGATGTGGACATCAGGAGCAGGAAAAGAAGTGGATCAGATGGAGCACCGAAAGCATCTTGGACCCACATCATTAGCCTCATCACCACGTACACGCATGAAAATAGGCGTATTCGAATTCAAGTACTGCTTTCCTTATGCTCACCACCTATCTCGCCACGCAAAAGTTGCATTAAGAAGATACCTACCCCAGTAGCATATAACATTAAAACAACATTGATCAATGTTGATTCAATATCCGAACGCTGAACCTACGTTGAATCAATGTTGATTCAATGTTATATGCTACTAGGGTAACTGTCCAGCTGAGAA